TTCAGAGGCGATTCCATCATTGCCATGATTAACAGTTAAGGAACAGCAGCCCAGAGAAGGCTGCCCCTATACGTAAGGTGACCACACACGTAACCAAGGTAAAAACAGGCCACAGGTACAGGACTCCAGCTCCTCAGGCTGGTGTCCTTACCCAGAACATCTCATTAAATCATATAAACCTATGTAGTAGATATTTGTTTCCTCAAGTTAGGGAAGGAACCTTTAATGTTAGTGTTATCCTTTGCAAACTGAGTAGATTGAATAAAATAGGTATCTGATAGGAGACTTAGCTTATAGGTTTTCATGGTGTTGAGATTGTTTTCTTCAATATTGCAATATTACAAAACCATTTTAAATTTGAAACTCAGGTGAAGTTAATATTTTGGAAAAATCTTGCTGTGACAGTTAAATGCAAAAGGGACATTACATGCTGTGTTCATGCTTTTTGCATTCTGGGTCCTTGGTTCCCACCTGACTTCTGTGTTTGTTTCATTCGACAGACTGGGCTCTCTGGAAACCTGATCGTGCTTTCTGTCCTGTACAAAGGAGGGCTGCTGATGGGTAGTGCGCACATGACAGTGGGTGAACTCTCTTCCTTCCTAATGTATGCTTTCTGGGTTGGAGTAAGCATTGGAGGTAAATAATTTAAATAGGCTTGGGGCATTACAAATTAAAAATCAAAGCATCATTTCTGAAATAGAAACAGAACTTTCACATTACTTCGATTAACTTTTACTGAAAAAGTATTTCCTAGAATGTTATTATTCCAACTGGGGTTTTTTTTTTTTTTTTTTTTTTTGAGATAGAGTCTCTCTCTGTCACCCAGGCTAGAGTGCGGTGGCGTAATCTCGGCTCACTGCAACCTCCGTTTCCCGGGTTCAAGTGATTTTCCTGTCTTAGCCTCCTGAGTAGTTGGGACTGTGGGCGCGCATCACCATGCCTGGCTAATTTTTGTATTTTTAGTAGAGATGAGGTTTCACCATGTTGTTCAGGCTGGTCTTGAACTCCTGACTTTGTGATTTACTCAACTGGGCTTTTTTTTTTTTGAGATGGAGTTTCACTCTTGTCTCATTGCACACCCAGGCTGGAGTGCAATGACACGATCTCGGCTCACTGCAACCTCCGCCTCCTGGGTTCAGGCAATTCTCCTGCCCCAGCCTCCCGAGTAGCTGGGATTACAGGCATGCACCACCATGCCCAGCTAATTTTTTGTATTTTAAGTAAGACAGGGTTTCACCACGTTGACCAGGATGGTCTTGATCTCTTGACCTCATGATCCACCTGCCTCGGCCTCCCAAAGTGCTGGGATTACAGGCTTGAGCCACCACGCCCGGCCCTCAACGGGGCTTTTAAAGAATTAAAATCAGTGTGACCCTCCCACACAAGGGAGCGAGCAGCTCCTTGGCTGGTAAATTTGGGGATCTTTGCAGGCCTCCTGTAGCTCAGCATCACTCTGGAGCAGTATTTCCCAGCCTGCGTGTTCCAACCCTTTGTTCACTTGCTCACAGGTGCAGGCAGGAGGAGGGTGGTGCTGAGCAAGTGTGGACACAGAAATCCATAATCCTGTGTTAGTGATGGTTTTGTGATTGGCAAATTAGTGGAGGATAAAATTCCTTTTGTACAAAATCAACCATATTCCAAACTAATAAGCAATCAAAAAATATTTATAAATTATCAAGTGCATGAAACAGAGTTGCTTGATTTTATTAAAGATCTCTTAGAGTTTAGCTTTTATTTTTCACTCCCAGATGAAGTAAAGCAGGAATGCATCCCCAGTCAACTTGGGACAAATGATTGCCTGCTTTTTGTTTTCCTTCTTGTCTTTGAAGACCAAGATGGAAAGGTCAGGTAAATAGCTTGAGGTCTGATTAATGGAACATCGTCAGGTATCCTATGGTGTTGCCTCAACCAGAGAGTTTTATTTTCAGGGTTTTGTGTCTAATTGTTGAAGGTAGAGGCATTTCCTTAGACATCTGCAGGCAAGTGAGGTTTTTTTTTTCTGGAATGAGATTTGCAGAGACACCTAAAAAAGCATTTTAGTTCTGCTGGCTGGTCTTGAATACAAATGGGATTAAGATGTTTTGGGGTGCTGGATGGTTTGGGAAGCGAGAAGGTGGTCCAGTTCAGGAGACCCATAGACAGACAGTATGTAGGTCTTTTCTGTTTATTTCCTGGATTGAGCCCACTGGGCTGGAGGTTTCACCCCTATTGTGGTCCTGTTCTCTTAGGTCTTCTGTCCTCCTTCTAGTGGACTACCTACAACACTTCCCCTCCCTCTGGTCTTTCTGTTCACATTCCAGGTTTCCTCCTTGGCCTCCCATCATCTTAATGTTTTTTGCCACATTCGACATGATCTTTCTCAGCCCCTCCTCTTCCCTCCTCTGCCCCACTTGGCATGATAGAAGTTATTTCTGTTTGTGGTTGTTCTCTTGCCCTCTCTGTTCACAAGGGACAAGTTCACAACTGTGCCTTGCACAGAATAGGTTGGAAAACACAGTTCATCAATATAGTCAGTTACCACCACTGATTATTGGAGGTACTGCTAAGGCTTCATCTGCGTGCAGATTGGGTAACTTGGTTTTCTTAACCACAGGCTAGCCCACAACTCTGGTCATCTGTCTTGTTCGGGATCTGCCATCTGGTGTGAGGAGGGATAAGAAAAAAGTATGGGTACGTCAGTGTACCCCTGTTGCCACCGGTTTCCTCCATATTTATAACTTAGATGCCTAAGGTGATAGGAGTTTAATCCAACAACTTGAATTAGCAGGTGAGAATTCTGCCACTGAACCACCGGTGCCCAACAACTTAATAGGATTTTAAGTGATTTTATGTTCTTAAAGTAATCTTATACTTTTATAGAATCACTGTCCAAAGTAATTGAAAACCTAGCCATTTTCAAGTTTACAATTCAGTGGTATTTAGTACATTCACAATGCTGTGCAAACACTATCTCCATCTAGCTCCCATACAGTTTCATCACCTGAAAAGAAAACCGATACTCATTAAGCAGTCTATCTGCATTACTTCTTCCTGCCAGCTCCTGGCAACCACAGTTTGCTTTCTGTCTCTATGTATTTACCTATTGTAGATATTTCATGTAAGAGAAAACATGCAATAAATGTCCTTTTGTGTCTGGCTTCTTACACTTAGCATAGTATTTTCAAAGTTCATCTACATTGTGGCATGTATCAGTACTTCATTCCTTTTTTTTTCTTTTTTTTCCCCAAGACAGGGGCTTGCTGTCTCACCCAGGCTAGAGTGCAGTGGTGCAGGCTTGACCTCCTGGGCTCAAGCGATCCTCTCACCTCAGCCCCCTAAGTAGCTAGGACTTACAGGCATGTGCCCACCATGTTTGGCTAATTTTTGTATTTTTTGTAGAGAAAGAGTTTTGCCATGTTGCCCAGGCTGGTCTTGAACTTATGGGCTCAAGCAATCTGCCTTCCTCCGCCTCCCAGAGTGTTGGGTTGGCAGGCCTGAGCCACTGCTACTGGGCTAGTGCGTCATTCCTTTTTATGGTTGAATAATATTCCTTTATAGAGAGAGATCACATTTTGTTTATCCAGGGCCATTTTACTTTTGTTCTTCAAAGTCAAAGCTCTTTACTATGTTAAACTACTTTTGACTCTTTCACTTTACTTCTTTTTTGTTTTGTTTTAGAAAAAGGATCTCACTCTGTCTCCTGTCAGAAGTGCAGCGGCATAATCCTAGCTCACTGCAGCCTTGACCTCCTGGGCTGAAATGATCCTTCCACCTGGGCCTCCTTAGTAGCTAGGACTACAGGCATGAGCTACCATACTCAGCTAATTATGTTTATTTTTGTAGAGACAGGGCCTTGCTATGTTGTGTTGCTCAGGCTGGTCTCAAACTCATGGACTCAAGTGATCCTCCTGCCTCAGCCTCCCAAAGTGCTGGGATTATAGTTGTGTGCCACCATGTCCAGGCTTACTTTTTTCTTCTTCTTTCTTTCTTCCCTCCTCCCTTCCTTTTTCTTTAACAAAATTAATACCATTTTCAAAGTAGTTTTAGGTTCATAGCAAAATTGTGTTGAGATAGGAGTGTATACTGCTACACCCATACACGCATAGCCTCCCTCACTATCAACATCCCCCACAGAGTGGTACATTTGATACAGTTAATGAACCTACAGCCGGTCGCAGTGGCTTACGCCTTTAATCCCAGCACTTTGAGAGGCTGAGGTTGGCAGCTCACTTGAGTCCAGGAGTTCGAGGCTAGCCTGGTCAACATGGCAAAACCCTGTCTCTAGTAAAAGTACAAAAATTAGCTGGGTGTGGTGATACACACCTGTAATCCCAAATTACTTAGGAGGCTGAGGCAGGAGAATTGCTTGAACCCAGGAAGCAGGGTTCCAGTGAGCTGAGATCGCACCACTGCACTCCAGCATGGGTGACAGAGTGAGACTCTGTCTCAAAAAAAAAAAAAGAACCTACATTGACACAGCACTACATCCAAAGTAAAATAGTATAAGTGAGGATTCACTCTTGGTGTATATTCTATGGTTTTGGACAAATACATAATGACATGTATCCAACATTACTGTATCATACAGAGTAGTTTCACTACCCCAAAGATCCTCTGAGCCCTGCTTATTCATCATCTTTCTGCAACCCCTGACAGCCACTGATGGTTTTACTGTTTCCATGGTTATGCCTTTTCTAGAATGTCATATAGTTGTAATCATACAGTATGTAGCATTTGATTGGCTCTTTTCATACAAATATGCATTTAAGATTCCTCCATGTCTTTTTGTGGCTTGATAGCTCATTTCTTTTTAGCAGTGAATAATATTCCATTGTCTGGATATACAACAGTTTATTCATTCACCTGCTAACGGACATCTTGGCTGCTTCTAAGTTTTGGAAATGATGAATAAAGCTTCTTTAAACATCCATGTGTAGGTTTTTGTGTAGATAGAAGTTTTCAGCTCATTTAGGTAAATACCAAGTAGTATAACTGCTTGATTGGATGGTAAGAATATGTTTAGCTTAGGACAGTGGCAGTATCATAGGCAATGAGGTTTATCTGAGGCATGATTATTGCTAATTGAAAACTTTTCCCAGTACCCCTCGGTGATGACTTGCAATATAGTTAGCATTGGCAAGGTTTTTTTTTTTTTTCTTTGAAAGGGAGTCTCATTCCTTTGCCCAGGCTGGAGTACAGTGGCACCATCTCAGCTCACTACAACCTTCACCTCCCGGGTTCAAGCAATTCTCATGCCTCAGCCTCCCGAGTAACTAGGATTACAGGAGTCTGCCACCATGCCCAGCAAATTTTTTTTTTTTTTTTTTTTTTTGAGATGGAGTCTTGCTCTGTCACCCAGGCTGGAGTGCAGTGGTGCAATCTTAGCTCACTGCAACCTCCGCCTCCCAGGTTCAAGTGATTCTCCAGCCTCAGCTTCCTGAATAGCTGGGACTACAGGCATATACCACCACATCCAGCTAATTTTTCTGTATTTTTAGTAGGGATGGGGTTTTACCACGTTGGCCAGGCTGGTCTTGAACTCCTGAACTCCTTACCTCAGGTGATCTGCCTGCCTCAGCCTCCCAAAGTGCTGGGATTACAGCTGTGATTGGCCTAATTTTTGTGTATATATGTATATATTTTAAATAGTAGAGACAGGGTTTCACCATGTTGGCCGAGCTGGTCTTGAACTCCTGGCCTCAAGTGATCCTTCTACCTTGGCCTCCCAAAATGCTTGGGATTACATGTGTGAGCCATCATGCCTGGCCAGCACTGGCAATTTTTGACATCTCTGTGGAGACTGAATGAATTATTTTCTGTAGAAACAAGGTTCTCTCTGTGTTGCCCAGGCTGGTGTTGAACTCTTGGGCAATCCTTCTAGCTTTGTCTCCCAAAGTGTTGAGATTACAGCCATGAATCACTGCGCCTGGTCTCTCTTTTTTTTTTTTTCCTTAATTTAGCATTACATTGTATTGGGTGTTATAAGTAATCTAGTGATGACTTAACGTATATGGGAGAATGTGAGTAGTTTATCAAAGTTGTATTTACTGAGTGCCTGAGGTTAGATATTATTTTGTGGATTTGTCTTTAAAATCAACTTGAAGTATTTTATATTTTTTAAAATTATGAGATAGCATTGCATTTCATTTAAATTGCTATGCTTTTAACTAGGTAGACTTATTCTGCAGCATTAGGATTTTAATCCAGTGGTTGATGAATATGACTGTGTTGTTTAATCCTTGATCAAACATTAAATGCATATTAGAAATCAGTGAAATTTGGCTGGGTGCAGTGGCTCATGCCTGTAATCTCACACTTTGGGAGGCCGAGGCAGGTGGCCTACCTAACGTCAAGAGTTCAAGAGCAGCCTGGCCAACATGGCGAAACCCCAGCTCTACTAAAAATAAAAAAATTAGCCAGACATGGTGGTGCATGCCTGTAATCCCAGCTACTCAGGAGGCTGACGCAGGAGAATCACTTAAACCAGGGAGGTGGAGATTGCAGTGAGCCGAGATTATGCTACTGCACTGCAGCCTGGGTGACAGAGTGAAACTCCATCTCAATAAAAAGAAAGAAGAAAATCATTGAAACTGGAGGAGGAGAAGCCAAAGGAAAACTAGACCACGAGGCAAGGGAATTCTTAATATCAGTTTCCAGGAAGCTGCCTCAGGTTATTTTTTGAAAGTATTAATAACAGATTCTATATTAAAAGAAATCATTGTCACTACTCTCAGAGGAGAGGTGGCCAGTGATGGAAATGTGTGTGGATTCTGTTTCTCATCCTCAGGTCTGAGCTCTTTTTACTCGGAGCTGATGAAAGGACTGGGCGCTGGGGGGCGCCTCTGGGAGCTTCTGGAGAGAGAGCCCAAGCTGCCTTTTAACGGTAGGTCTGAATATCTTTCTTTGCTAGGATTAAACAGATGTGGCTTTGAACAATGAAATGAGCTCTTCCCTGCCTGTGAGGGAGTGAGGGATGAGTCACAATAAGGATGTGACTCCTGCTGCATGGTGGGCTGGGCAGGGGTGGTCAGGTTTTCTAAGAGAGCAGGTGGGACAGCTCCTGGGGCACTGTTGTGGACCAGGATGCCCTGGATGCATGGGATGATCACATAGTGTGCTGCCTGCTGTTCCTCTCCCTGCACCTGGGCAGGATGGAAGCCACTGTGGCCCAGGGCTGTGACTAGGAAGGGTCCCAGCTAGTCTTCCAAATTGATCTTCCCTGCTGATTCTGACATCTCTGTGGAGGGCTAAGGTGGGAAAAAGGGAGGAGGAATCAGACATATGGAAGTTTTTAAGTATCTAAGTTTCTTGGCATTTTGGGGTGGGGTAGGGGAGGTTCGTACTCATTGGCTGGAGCCATCTCCTTCCTTATCAATGACTTCCCTGGAGCTGTAGGGCCTAGACCAACTAGCCAGGACTCAGGAGAAGTGCCTATGAGTAGCAACCACTCCCAACTGCTTATTGACTCCTAGGACATTGTTGAGTAGCCCCAGGTCCCTAAGTGAAAGCCCAGTATTCTCCAAATGTGTTAGGCCTGGGAAATAGGCCCAACTGAGAGAGGTTGAGTGGTGTCTCCCAAATCAGAGAAGGTGAATGCCAGGGCAGAACAAACCTCCGACCCCATCCCGTTCTGTGGCTATTGTGCAGTGCTTCCCTATTCATCATAACTCTTTCAAAATATTTATTCCTGGTAGGTAAGATAAACTCTGGAGCTACACACAGGCAGTGCCACAGGGAGAAGGCTATTGGCTTTGAAACCAGACTGCTCCAGGGGTGGATCTTAACTTCACTACTTGTTAGCTTAAGCAGGTTGTTGTTTGTGGTCTTCAGTTTCCTCATCAGCAAAACTGAAATCATAATTTCTACCTCTCAGGGTTGTAAGGATCAAATAAGACTGTCTGTGTATAAAACCTTGGACACAGTAGGTGCGGAGTTGGCATGCTTGACTTACCCTTTAAGAGCTCATATGCCAGGGTTAGCTGGGGTGGAGTCACCGTCCATAGCCAGATAAGTAGGAGAACTGAGTTCAGCTGTGAGTTTAATTTTTTTGCTTTGAGTAATTAATATTCCATTTTATGTTTCAGAGGGGGTCATCTTAAATGAGAAAAGCTTCCAGGGTGCTTTAGAGTTTAAGAACGTCCATTTTACCTATCCGGCTCGCCCAGATGTGCCCATATTTCAGGATTTCAGCCTTTCCATTCCGTCAGGATCTGTCACAGCACTGGTTGGCCCAAGTGGTTCTGGCAAATCAACAGTGCTTTCGCTCCTGCTGAGGTTGTACGACCCTGTGTCCGGTAAGTGGTTCACCACACTGTAGCACCGGGGGACTCTCCGGAGCTGTGCTCCCACTAGGTGCCCTGCAAGATGCTCAAACCATGTAGATACCTTCTTTTGTGAGAGTTCTAAGTGCCAATGGAAATAAATCCCTCAAACAGAAGGTGTCATTTGCAGGGGCATGACAGCTCATACAGAGGCCTTTAGAGCATTTTGTATATGATGTGTCCTATCTCTTCAAGCCCAGAGTGACTTCCCCAATTCTACCTCCTCATCTCCCATGTGGGTATCTCCTCTGGACATGCCCTCTACTGGGAGCAGGTGGATGAGGCTGTGCTCAGTGGCCAGGAGAAGGTGCCTGAGTGCTGCTGGACATCCCTACGCACCAGGAGCACCCTGGAGAACTGCCATGTGCCAGCGGGCATGCTGGGCGCAGGTGTGATGGGGAACTCCTGGAGAACCTCTGCCCCTGCCTGTGACCCACTGAGTGGTTATTGTGCACACAGTTAACTTGGCAATCAGTGATTCATTTCTGTGTGATTGTTTCATTGAAACTATTTTGAGCTAGTAGGGATTTTCTTAATGGATGATTTTTCTCATTCTAGTTTTTGTTTTATTTTTAGCTAGATTATAACATCTTTAAGAGCAAAGAGCACATGATTTTTCTTCTTTATATCTTCCCTGGAGTAGACAACAGTGTCAGCAAGCAAACAACTCTTAGTAAAAATCAAGTCATGAATTTAAAAAGAATATTTTGACCAGATATGGGGCCCCACACATGTAATTCAAACACTTTGGGAGGCTGAGGTGGGAGGATCATTCAAGGCCACAAGTTGGAGACCAGCTTGGGTAACATAGTGAGACCCTGTCTCGATTTTTAAAAAATTAAAAATTTAAAAAATGAGAAGAATGTTTTGTGTCTTTGTGCTTATGCTTTTTGGTTAAAACAATGTGAGAGCTGGTTACACGTCATATAAATGGACTTGTAAATCCTGACCCATGGAATCACCACCTGTGTTAAAATGGGGCTTACTACACTGTTTGCCTCTGGAATCACTTTCTTGATTCATCATTGACTTGCTATACAATTCAGAGTTTAAACACATCCTAGTTAGCTGGGCACAGTAGCTTATGCCTGTAATCCCAGCTCTTAGGGAGGCAGAGGTAGGAGGATACCTTGAGTGCAGGAGTTTGAGACCTGCCTGGGCAATAATATAGTGAGACCTCATTCTCCACAAAAAGACAAAAAACAATCCTAGTTAGGTTGCTGTAAGTCAAGTAAAAATACTGAGTCTCTAGTTTCTTCATCACAATGAATAAATCCAAGACAAAGCAAACTGCAGTGAAATGTCTGCCAAGTGTAGTCTACAGAGCTTTGTGCTTTTTAGTCAAAGACCTCAAGTTTTTGCCAGTTTATGAAAGTCTCTAGCTGGCTTCTATAATTCCACAATACCAACCAAGAAGAAAGGGCATTTCTTATGCTGTCCCTGTTGTCATCATCACCAAGTATTGTTGATCACCCTCAATGTGTAGAATTCTGTTAGTGAAAGTCATAGAGATAGCATCTGATTATTTAAAAGCTCTCCCATAGTATCAACCAGATTCTTAGTTGCAGACAACAGATTCCTCACCATCTAAGCTTCTACAGAAAGGGATATTTAAAGGAGTAATAAAAGAACTCAAAAATCACTGGCAGGGATGACAAAATAGATTCCAGATTGTACTTCCAGGACAATTCCCAGAATTCTGTCCCAGAACCAGGCCTTCAAGGAAGCTGCTGACACTGGCATGGTCAGGAAGCTGGAAATTTAGGCAGTTGCCATCATGAATGCCAGCTTCAGAACTGTGCCACCTCTGCCAATATTTGTGCCAGCAAGTGGATAACTCACG